ATATATATATATATATATATATATGACAATTAAAACATAACTAGACCATAACCAACAACAGAGTGTAAATAGAAAACATAAGCAGTCACCACATCGTTGCAATAGTTTAAATGTTTTATTTTGGATCATTTATTATTTTAATGATATTTATTTATTTTAACTTTACATTTTATGATTGAATTCATTATTTTTAATGTTTTTACCTTTTTATATTGTTCTTATTTTTTAAATATGAATTTATTTTATTAGACATGTTTATGATTTACATAACAGCTTTTTATCAACTCAGTGAAATGGAAATATAAATCTTTTCCAGCTTTATACATGTTTACATTTTGATCAAATTAATGCATCCTTGCTGAATAATATTATAATATCTACAGTTGCAAAGCGGTTCTAAGTGGGTTTTAGTGTGTTGCTATGCAGTTGCTAAGGTGTTTCTATGCGGTTGCTAGAGCCATCCTTAAAGTCGCAAATACTTTTTGTTAAAATTCTGAAATGATCCAAAAAACTGTGGAGAGCTGACAACAGCGAGCTTAAAACGCTCTGAAGACAGATGTTCATCTGAAGTGACACGAGCAGCTCCAGATTTAAAAACCCTCGTCTGACAGACGGCCGTCTCTTCCCTTCATACAGAACCAAAACATGTCAAACTAAAACACATCTGCAGGAGAAAAACTCCATTCACAATCCAGGTGTTACTACATCTTCCAGCACATCTGTTCCTGTAACAACATTAACAGCAAGACTCACTGACAAAGACGTCAGTAACATTATGCTTATGATTCAGATGCTGAATTAGTCATTGGCTTCTCTTCCAGTTTTTACAGTTATCACAGCATTATTAAATTCAGAAATGTCTTTCCTGAAAAAAGAATAGGCCAAATCTGACTTAATGAAACGGCATGCTTAATGCGTTTAACTTTCAGAATCTGACGCATTTCTGAGTGAAAACTGATATTCAGTGGGAATAGGCAGAGACAGTTATTTTGATGGTTTTAATAAAGTCTGGTTATGATAAAATCCCCTTTATGTAATTTTAACAAAGTCCTCAAAAGTTTGGTTTTTAATGAAGTCTCTTCTGCTCATCAAGGCTGCATTTATTTGATCAAAAAATACATTAAAAACAGTAATATTGTCAAATATTATTACAATTTAAAATAGCTGTTTTCTATGTGAATATCTGTTAAAATGTAATTTTTTTGCTGTACTCCAGTCTTCAGTGTCACATGATCTTCAGAAATCATTCTAATATGCTGATTTGCTGCTCAAGAAACATTTCTGATTATTATCAGTGTTGAAAACAGTTGTGCTGCACAATATTTTTGTGGAAACCGTGATACATTTTATTTTTCAGGATTCACAGATGAATAGAAAGTTCAAAAGAACAGCATTTATTTGAAATAGGAACGTTTGTAACATTATAAATATCTTTCCTGTCACTTTTGAGCAATTTCATGCATCATCGCTGTATAAAATAATTTCTTAAAAAATAATAAATATTTATTTAATTTTACATATTTATGATTTAATTATTAGTAATTCAAATTTTATTTTAAAATATTTATTTTTTAATTTATTTTACATTTGTATGATTGAATCAATCATTAGTGTTTTATTTTGATTGTTTTAAAATGATTAATTTTAATTTATTTAGAGTTTTAATTTTTAAATGATTCATTGATTTAGCATTTTTATGATTTAATTAATTATTACCTTTTCAAGGCAATGAAATGGAAATAGTAATCTTTCTGTGACATTATAAAATTTTTGTCACTTTTGATCATTTTAATGCATACTTGCTGAATAAAATTATTATTTAAAAAAAAATAGATTATTTTAATTTTACATTTTTAGGATTTAATTAATGATTAGTAATAGTGAAATAATGATATTAATAATAAACTAAATAATGATTAGTAGTTTATTTTTAAATTACTAATTTATTTTTATTTTACATTTGTATGATTTAATTAATTACTACCTTTTCATCAAGTCAATGAAATGGAAATAGAAATATTTTGTAACATTATAAATGTTCTTTTTGTCACTTTTGATAAATTTAACGCACCTTAGCTGAATAAAATGATTAATTTCTTATGAAAAAATCTTTGTTCCCAAACTTTCGAACGGCTGTGTGTAATGTGCACACTCAGATTCAGACAGGAGCATGTTGTAGGACAGAAAACAGGGTCAGTATTTACCTGACTGATCAGATCTCTGATGCTGGCCAGTGTAGCGGCCTGTTTCTTCTTCAGACTCTGTTCCTGCGGTGAACCATCAGCGCTGCTGTTATCTGCCGACTGAAAGAATGCGACATTACATGCGTTATCAGCACACACACACACACACACACACACACACACACACTCACACTCACACACACACACATCTGCCAGCATGTTCTCGAGTGCAGCACATATGCATTAATAATATTCATGCAAGTGTTCAACAGGTGTGTTGCATTGCTCTCATCTACATGAACATGTGTGTGTGTCAGTGAGACAGAAGAGAAAAGAGAGTCCATGTGCATCTATTGTTCGCACATCACGTTGAGCCGACAGACTCCACACAGCTGCTGAACATCTGAGGAGACTCTATTATTCCGTTCTGAAGCTCAATTATAGTGGAAAAGATACAATTCTGCGACCTTTAACTTTAACCTGAGGTGCTTTGAGCAGCTGCAGTCCTAGACTATGAATCTGCTGTCTTCTAAGAAAACATCCTGATGGGACAGAAACCTCACAACTTACTGCAAAAGAAGCATAAATTAAAGCACACAAAACTCAACTTACAATTGGTTCTTCTAGACCAGGGATTCCCAAACTTTTTTGTCAGCCTTATTCACATATTGACATGTTCACAATTCTCTGATGTTGGTTACATGATGGTCACATAACATGCAGGTAAACAAATACAATAGTTAATCTTTTTAATAAGCGTTTTATTTTGTTTGTTTTTATTTTAAAATAATTTATTTATTTTAATTTAATATTTTTATGTTTGAATTAATTATTAGCAAGTGTTTTTTATTTTAAAATTACATATAAATTATTTAATTTTACACTTATAATTTAATTAATTATTAGTAAATGTTTTATTTTGATCATTTTTATTTCAGAATTATTTATTTTAATTAAACATTGTTATAATTTAATTAATTATTAGTGTTTTATTTCGATCATTTTTATTTTAAAAGTATTTATTTAAATTTCACATTTTTATGATTTAATTCATTGCTAGTTTTATTTTGATAATTTTTTGTTTAATTTTTATCATTTAATTATTAGTGAGTGTTTTATTTTTATTGTTTAATTTAAAAGTATTTATGTTAAATTATACATTTTATTATAATTATTAGTAAGTGTTTTATTGTAATTTTGTCTTATTTTAAAATTATATTTATTTTAATTTTACATTTTTATTATTTAATTAACCATTAGTGCTTCATTTCAATTGTTTTTATTTTAAAATTATTTATTTGAATTTTATATTTTTTTGTGTCTTTGTTTAAAAAATTTTTTTTTCATTTTTATGATTTAAATAAATTATTATTTAAATACACTAATTAGTACGTGTTTTATTTTTTAAATTAATTATTGCCTTTTTTTTTTAAATATCAAAAATCTTTTTTCGACCCCTAATCTACCCCAGTTTGGGAAACCCTGTGCTAGAGGTTTCACTCTCTATACTATAAAAACAGCCAATTTTCAATCATACTCAACAATTCTCCATATTTAGGAATGCAATGACGTTCACATACAGTATACTCACACAGAGTATATTCTGAGTCTCTGGCTTTATAGATGCATCTGTAAACACATTTACATCTTAAACTTTAATGACATTTTGTTCTGGCAGTGGAGATGGGGAATTAATGGAGCAGTGAAAGAAACAGAGAAGTGAATGAATTTGGAGGAGCTGCATGTGAACAGAAGTGAGTGAGTCATAATGCACATGTTTCCACCGTTCACCTGCTGTAAACATCATGAGAGAGAGAGAGCACATGTTAGTCTGCGTTTGTTAAAACTCAACCTGAACCATGGCTTGCGTCTGACCGTCGCCATGGTTACGGCTCTCGTCTCAATTACGCTCCTCATTCAGCTGCCATCCCTCTATTTTTCCTTGTATGTTCGACATGCTCGATCACTCGGTCTGTGTTCATGTGGTGCTTTACCTGTGCGTTATCGTTGTCAAGCTGCTCCGTACTTTTGCATTTCTTCATTCTGAAATAGAGAAACATGAAGATTTGTGCATTAAAACAATAATAATCATGTTTAATGTGACACCAACTAGGTTTAGTAAAGCTAAAATGCTATTGTACTCCTAAAAGTAAACAAAATAAATTCTATACATTATTCCAGAAGGGTAGGGTCAGTTTTTTTTTAATGAATACTTTTACAGCATATTTATGAAGGATCATGTGACACTGACTGGAGTAATGATGCTGAAAATTCAGCTTTGATCACAGAAATAAATTACATTTGAACATATATTCACATAGAAAACAGCTATTTAAAATTGTAATAATATTTTACAATTTTACTGTTTTAGTGTATTTTTGATCAAATTAATGCACTCTTTTTATTTTTTTTTTTTTACAAATATTTATTTATTAGTTTTAATTTTCCATTTTTATTATTTAATTAATTATTAGCGAGAGCAATTTTTTATATTTAAATGTAAATTTTAGTTTCATTTTACATAAATGCAGCCTTAGTGAGCAAAAGATACATCTTTTTAAAATATTAAAACATTTTATTTTTATTATTTATTTAAATGTTTTTTAAATTTTTTTATTAGTAGTAAGTATTTTATTTTGACTGATTTAAAATGACTTATTTTGATTTTATATTTTGATTTTATTTTTTAAATTAATTTTTAATTGATTACATAACTGATTACATTTATTATTTATTTATTGAAATTTATGATTTCAAAACCATTAAAAATATTATTTATATTGATTTTACATTTTTAGGATTTAAATAATTACTAGCAAGTGTTTTATTTTGATTGATTTAAAATGATTTATTTTAATTTTAAATTTTTATGCAAAATCCAAAAACATAAAAAAAACTTACTTGTCTTTCTTCTTGGGCTCACTGAAAAAGAATAAACAGATTGTAAGGGACAGAGATATCTTGAATATTACCTGTATTTCATTTAATTTAGTTGTTTATTTTAGAAATATTTACATCCCATCATGCCAAATGATCTCACACAGCAGTCATTCCTCATACGAACTGTTTTATTTCATTATGAGAAGCTAAAAGGGCGACCAAGCTACTAAACCATTGCAAAGATCCAGACACCGAGTCGCAGACTAGTTTTGTTTCTGCCGGTGGTTTGTGTAATGTGATCAGTCCCACTCACGCTCACAGCGTTCATTTACTCTGCTTCTGCTCTCAAAACAATAATACTTAACCAAATAATTAACAAACAAACTGAGCTCCATGTAGAAAAGGTCACCAGCCCCTGGTGTCGTTAGACATGAACCTTGTTATGAATCCCAAGGCAAACACACTCACACTGCAGCTCGGACGCATTAGCTGAATTAAAACACTCAAAGCTCGCAGCGCTCAATGATTCATCTTACGCTCGCTCTTTCTTGCATTTTGTTTTGTATTTCTCTTGTTTCAAAGGTCAAGTGCACTGAAACACACACACACACACACACAAACACACACGTTTGTGAATTGTGGGGACTTTCCATAGACTTCTATTACTTTTATACTGACCAAACGATATTTTCTATCCCCTAACCCTAAACCTACCCCTTACAGAAAACCTGCTTGCATTGTTACACTTTCAGATAAACCATTTACTATTTTTAATCATTTTTTTCCCCCTCGTGGGGACCACAGGCCGGTGCCCACAATGTCAAAAATTTCAGGTTTTACACACACTCACACACACATTTTGTGTTTCCATGTTTTATGGGGACATTCCATAGGCGTAATGGTTTTTTTATACTGTACAAACTGTATGTGCTATTGTCCTACACCAACCCTACCCCTAAACCTACCCCTTACAGGAAACTTTGTGCATCTTTACTTTCTCAAAAAAACTCATTCTGTATGATTTATAAGCTTGTTTCCTCATGGGGACCTCAAAAATGTCCCCACAAGGTCAAAATTTAATAGTATTACTATCCTTGTGGGGACATTTGGTAACATGATAACGTTATAAATACCAGGTACACACACACACACACACACTTACTTACCTGCTGAGTGCCTTGATCTCACTGCAGTGCTTCTCTGTGGCCATTTCCAGGAGTTTGGTCAAACGCTGTCACACAGGAAATACAGGAGAGAACACAGGAAGTGTCACTTACACATATTAGAACAGAACACACCAGCTGGCCCTCGCTCTGAGCTCTGAGATCTGCTGCGCTGCCACACAGAGGAAATGAATACAAGCACTTCCCGTCACTTCCAAGAAAGAAATCTCTAGCACCTGCTTCCTGCTTTCAGCAGGTGATAATGGTGCATCGGATCACTAAGGAAAATATCACTTGTTTTTAAACTGTTGCTATGTGGTTGCTAGGTTATTCTTAGTGTTTTAGAGTGTTGCTATGTGGTTGCTAGGTTATTCTGAGAGTTTTAGAGTGTTGTTATGAAGTTGCCAGGTTATTCTGAGTGTTTCAGAGTGTTTCTATGTGGTTTCTATGTTGTTCTGAGTGTTTTAGAGTGTTGCTATGCGGTTGCTAGGTTATTCTGAGTGTTTTAGAGTGTTGCTATGCAGTTGCCAGGTTATTCTGAGTGTTTCAGAGTGTTTCTATGTTGTTCTGAGTGTTTTACAGTGTTGCTATGTGGTTGCTAGGTTATTCTGAGTGTTTTAGAGTGTTGCTATGCAGTTGCCAGGTTATTCTGAGTGTTTCAGAGTGTTTCTATGTGGTTGCTATGTTGTTCTGAGTGTTTTAGAGCGTTACTATGCGGTTGCTATTTTCTGAGTGTTTTTTGAGTGTTGTTATGGGGTTGCTAGGCTGTTCTATTTTAGAGTGTTACTATGTGGTTTTTAGGTTATTTTTTGAGTGTTTTAGAGCATTGCTATATGGTTGCTAGTTTTTTTTCTGAATGGTTTTTAGAGTGTTATTATGTGTTTGCTAGGTTTTTCGGAGTTCTGTAGAGTATTGATATGTGGTTGCTAGGGTGTCTCACATGATTTGGGGAATCATTCATGTCTGGAGCACAAACGGTGCTGGACGATGCACACACTGAACTTTAATACTTAGTGTTAGTGGTTTCATCACATCACAGGAGCTCTAGTACCAGATCATGACTGATTAAATACTGTATAGGCAGGAGGCTTTTGTCTTTCCTCGGAGCGCGAGCACAGATCCGTTCAGAGGTGACTGTGGTTGATATGAGTGTAAGAGGGTGTCGTGGGTCCGGTCCGGTTTACTCTCCCAGTACGGGACATGACTGACCCCTGATCAATGCAGATCAACTGACTACACAGAGCAGCAGAGTGCTGATGGCTAATCAATACCTGAGAGAGTCCTGGCTCATGGCCAGCGGGAACAGTGCAGGATGGTGAAGCTGTTTGGCTCATTGAAATGCTCAGTATGGCCGAAAACAAACAAGAATTCATTCAAAAATAATCATAATAAATAATAATAATAATAATTGTCTAATTGAAATGCTTAGGCCAAAATCAAATGAACTCATTAAAAATAAAAATAAGCGAATAATAATAATAATAATAATAATAATTGGCTAATTTAAATGCTTTGTATGGCCAAAATCAAACAAGAAAAAAATAAAATAAAATAAAAACAGGCTAACTGAAACACTTAATCAAACAAGAATTCATTAAAAAAATGATGATAATAATAATAATAATAGGCTAATTGAAAGTCTTAGTATGACTGAAATAAAATAATTTCATAAGAAATTAAAATAAACGGACAATAATAATAATATTAATAGGCTAATTTAACTGCTCAGTATGGCCGAAATCAAACAGAAATTCATAATAAAAATAATAATAATCATATTTTATATTTTATACAATTAAAACATGATCACTGTGATCTTTTGTGTGATAAGACAATAAAACCCTTCATGCCAATCATGTTTTGATTAGAAACATTAATTAGCTTTTTCTAGATGTTTGCTAAGAGATTTAAACTATGTGTACTACTGTCACGAATCCTGTCCGTGGACTTCCTACATGTGGATGATTTCTGAATTTCGATCATTGTATGGCAAAAAACACACTCTCTGACGGCCGATGAATTGTCTTTGTGATGAAGTTCAGGCTCTACTGGAGTTCTGACACTGTAATTTAGGTCTCACAGTGTGCCTCTTAAAACACCTCATCAAGATTGTCAATCATTAGCTACACTGTACAGTCATAATGTCTGTGTCTGTACCTCAGTGTTGTTTTGTTCTTTCTTCTTCTTGATTTGATCGTGTTGCTCCACCAGCAGAGCCCTGAGCTCCGACTTCAGCTTCTGCTTGAGTTCATTCATCTGGTCACCCGGATCATCTCCAGACCTGGACAATCACATGGAAACAAGAGATCAGCACACAACACACATCTCAGGGACATAAACATGAAACATTAAAGTTCAACAGTGTTTCCCGGCTCGAAAGAGTTCAAAAGTAGATGCACACTGGACTTCTTTACTAGTTTAACCAGCAAGACTTCCTAAGTCAACCTGTTTCACATTAAGACCACCACTGATCTAGGACAGAACCAGCCGATCACCAGGATGCATAGAGTTAACTAAAACCAAACCTGTTAAAAATACTTTTCTTTAATTGAAATAAAGCTGAAATGGAAAGTCAATCTTAGATGAAAAACCTAAACTTAAATGAATATTAGAAATGCTGCCTTGGCAACTAAATGAAATAAAATAAGTTTAAGTACTAAAATGATGAGAAAAATAAATATTTAAAAATCAAAAACGAATAAAAATGACAAATGTACAAAACAACATTACTAAAACTTAAACTAAAATAGAATATATTAGATATATTATCTGAGAAAGTCTTATCTTATGTAGTTTTGCTTCTCAGTAGTTATCAGCTAAAACAAATACAAATTAAAACTAAATAGTACTTTAAAAATAAAAATGACAAAAGCAAATAACAAAATGACTAAAAATGAAACTAATTTTTAAAAATATATGAAAGTTGGAAAATATAAAAATAAAAGCTCATTCAAAATACTACACTAGTATAAAATAACACTGCCTATAAGCATTTACTTCTTCTTCTTCAAGGCTTTGAACTGGTCGCTGTATTTCTGAATCAGTTCTTCTCGTTTCTTCTGAAACTTCTTCTCCGTGTCCTTCAGGTCTTTTTCCTGTTTCTTGGCGACTTTCAGGAAGTTCTTGTGCTGCTGCAGTTCTTCACAGGTCACAGTGGTGATATCTGAAAAACAACTCCATCAATCAGACTCAATTCTCTTTACTGCAGAGTTTGTTGGTTTGTTAACACCACAGAAGTTTCTATTTTCATAACAAAAAACAATACTTATTATTTTAATGTTTCTAAAATGTAAGATATTGACCCATTTTCTTAGACATTTTACACACACACACACACACACACACATGTTGGTATATGTGGTTTACGAGGACACTCCATAGGCGTAATGGTTTTTATACTGTACAAACTGTATTTTCTATCGCCCTACACCAACCCTACACCTAAACCTACCCCTCACAGAAAACTTTGTGCATTTTTAGATTTTCAAAAAAACACCATTTAGTATGTTTTTAAGCCTTTTAAATTACGGGGACACAGAAAGTGTCCTCATAAATCACCTTCACATTGTAATACCTGTGTCATACCCATGTCATTATACAAATTTGTGTCCTCATAAACCAC